ATGTGATGAGTAGCCAGATCTGAGGCCTTTTCTGCAGCGCTCGAAGCGTGTGGTTCGCGAGGGCACCAATCGGCGTCCTGCACGCACTGAGCCGGCAGCTCCTGGCAGCCTGACGGCGAACACTGCATCGCTGTCGAGACGGCCAGTCACCAGCTGGCTGCTGCTGCTGCACCGGAGTAGGTTAGCACACAAACAAAATGGCCGAGCACTGTCAATATTTCACTGTTAACACTAAGCAGGTTACATACATTATGCCTTTAGATCGGTCCGTGTGCCGTTCAGGCCACCGGCGGGAATATTCCCTCAGCATAAACTCTTAGAAGGGCGATGAGCCAACTCCGTGGTGGTTGGGTGACATGACAGTACAAGCTATCATTTAGGTGTCACTAACGCATCGTTGGCTGCCGCCTTAACGTGATGCCCGTAAGCCAGTAGTAATTGGGAGTGTCTTCTAACATTTCTCGTCACAGCCTACTTTAAACTAACCGTGACGTCATTGCTGAGTTTTACACAACACAAGCGCTCCGTTTCATGAGAATCTCTAAATCCTAATATTCTAGGCCGGTTCGCCGGTTGCAGACCTTCCATTAAGCGACAACGACATCGGAGCCGATCGGCGGTCTGCTCACGTCCTCCACCGTTCGGCGGGTCCCCGGGCCGGTCGTGCCCTGAGGCCGTGCCTCTGACTGGTCCGGAAGACAGGCGCTCGGCTGACTGGCTTGGCGGGCCTCTTTCCTCGTGCCGGCCTCGTCACCGCGGCGTCGCGGTCCGACGAGCCGCGGCGACGACCAGCGTCGGAGCGACGCGTCTTGGCAGCGGCCTTCTGATGGACGCGAGCGCGCCGGGCGATGTCGTGCGATTCTGTGCCGGCAGGTGGCGGCTTGGAGAAACCGGTGGCCCCCGCGAAACGCGTGCGCCTGCGTGTACGATCGTTCGGATCGGGAGGACGGCTTACCCTCAGCAAGTTCCTCGTAAACCGCACTTTCTTCCTGTTTGCTCTTCGTGGCCTCTCCATTTCGCCCTCCGGGTTTAAACTCGTCACCTCCATGTCGGGACAGTCACTATCAACCCCCGAGTCAGTTCCGGGTGGAGGCGCTGAGTTGGGCCGGTCCCTCCGCCCCTCGTGGCCGCCGCTCCGTGCCGGAAGCGTCACGTCCACTGCAGCGCCGGCGTTCGCCTCCAGCTCTGTGATGTCGCACAGACTGAGGAGCAGCCGGGGCCGGTCGTCCGTTCGAGTGACACGCAACAGGCGGCCCAACTTCCGGAGCCAAGAGCGGCGTGCGGGACGGCCCGGCCGCCGCAGCTGGAGCCCCAGCTCGCTGGAGAAGAGGACCGGCGTGCACAAGCCGACCACACGACGGCCATCGGGCCGATGCGGCCGCGGGCGGCGCACGACCGACGACAGCAGCCTCGTCGTGCTGCTGTCGTCCAGCCGCCCGGCCCGCCAGCAGCACAGCAACCGCTCAGTCTTGCGGTGGATCTCACCCTGGCAGACAAACACGGCGGCCGGGAACAGCACGAGAAACGTGTAGCGCAGCCACATGAAGATGGGCTCATGTAGGCCGTTCATGGGCACCATCGGCATGGGGAGGTCGTCTATGATGTTTGACACGCTGGAGGTGGACAACTTGCTCCAATGAGAGCCGTTTCCCCGTTCGCTATCGTCCCACCGATGTTCCACCACCGCCGAGAGGTTAAGGTGCTTGAAAGTCTGCCCTATGTGGACGGTCAGCACCTGCGGCAGGCAGAGGCAGCAGTAGAGCAGCAGCAAGACCAGTGCCGTCACCGTCCGGCCCTGCTCTGGCTTCAGGTGCGGTGTCACAAACAGCCTCAGCTGAGAGCGGACGAGGGAGCGCTTCACCCTGGCCCGGCGCTGGTAGCGTCTCTCACGACGCAGCACTAACGCCACCTGCAGCAGGCAGGCGGCCATGGCGGCACAAGGCAGCAGGTGGCCAAGCGCCAGCACCAGCGGGCCGTAGACTGCGCCACCGCCGGCGCCGATGACGTTGCAGCCGCAGCGGCCCTGGTGCGGATAGACGGGCGGCTGGCCGGCCAGCAGGCTGACCGTCATAACGGCAGCGGCCGCCCAGCTCAGCGCCGCGGCCAGCCGCCACCGGCGCGCCGTCAGCCAGCCGCCGCCGCGCCGCCGGCCGCCCAGCAGCAGCGCCCGCTCCAGCCACAGCAGCAGCACGCTCAGGCTGGTGACGACCAGCGCCGCCTCGCTGGCGGCCGCGTCCAGCCGGCAGGCGGTCTCACCCAGCGGCCAGTGCTCGCGCGCGGCGAACGCGGCGCCCAGCGGCAGGCTGAGCGCAGCCTCGAGCAGGTGCGCCGCCGCCAGCGACAGGAGCAGCGCTGGTTGCGGCTGTCGGAGCAGCGTGCCGCTGCTGGCCACCGCCGCCGCCAGCAGAGCGTTCAGCACGAACCCGGCCGCGCTGAAGAGCGCGAGAAAGCCTGCCACGACGTAGTGCGTGTCGGCACAGCGCACCACCTCGGCCCGCAGCGTGAGCGTGTCGTTCGGGCCCGGGTGGAGGTACACCAGAGTGTCACCGCAGTCGGACATCGCGGTGATAGAGTGCCGCTCGGAGCGTGCTTCGGTCGCCTGATGCAGCACGACGGTCCGCGCGGCTGTCCTCGTTCCCGGTGGACGAGGATCGGCCGTGTCCGGTTCTCGCGTCTGCTTAGCCTGGCCTTCTCCGGCACAGATCGCAACCAGTATTTGCTCCGGCCTAGCCCGTCCACTGCTGGTACACATCAACTCCGTCCGACCGTAATAGCACGCAACTGCTGAGAACCCTTCGGCCTGCTCCGGCGCCGCACCACTCACTTGTCCTCTTTAGATTCTCGCAGGAGTCCGCCTCCTCAATCACTGCCGCATCACTCGCTCCCTTCCGCAGGCACTCGCAATGTTGCCTTCGCAGCTGTGCTCGTCGTCACCAGTCTGCAGCGTCCTTCGCCGGTCATCGGACCCTCGCGCCGTGACCCAGGCCCGCACAACAGGTGGCGCGGGAGCGGGCGTCGCCGCGCGCTTGTTGCGCCCTTCCGACCCGGCGCCGATTACGCGCCATGCCGACCAGGCGGGCCTCTGTTTGGGGCGTTGCCCGAGGCGACGGGGTCAGGTCGATCGACGTCGGAGACGTTCAGCGTGGAAGGGTCGATGTCGCGTCCGTGAGGTCGGCGTGAGTCATCGCCGAACCCCGCCCAGTCGATGCGCGTCACAGCACCAGAACGCTGCAGCCAGGCGAGCCGAGTCAGCAGACCATGACAGGCACGGCCGCCGCATGACACGGTGCCACCCTGGTTCACCTGTTGGGTTTGTGTGTGTGCCTGATGTCGACCATACCAATTATGTTGATAGGTAGATGTATACCGGTGACAGATGTGCACGTCATGGTCGAAACTTCTTGTGTTGCTCCCAAAGGCTGCCAGTTTGCTGAATATGCAACATGTCCGCATTCTTGCGTACACAAAGTGTGTTACAAGAGCAGGCTTGTATTTCGAGTATATGAATGCAACAGCACACCAGTTCCTCGCACATTGGTATGCTATTTTATTCTTGTTACCAAACGATAGAAACGTGTATATGTTGCGACAAAACAAAGACAAAAACAAAAACGAACGAGGAACAGCATTAACATGGGTACGAAACACAAAACAGCTTTACGAGGGCGGGATATCTCAGGAGCGGCCGGCTCAGTATGAGTCCACAACGATAATATGACACCACCGCCACTCTTCAATATCTTCGACCCCGGAAATCCTGTAATGTTGAAATTTTGACAGGCGTTGCAAAATTCCCTTACATTCCATCTGGTATGATTTTTAACACAAATCTGATTGATTCCAGCGTCGTTTCCGTTTCCACCCGGATCCAAGCTAAGTCCATTCAAGCGAAAGCGGGAGGTCAGATCCGGGTGCATCACGTGCAGCCAGGTATGCAGCGTGCTGCGCCTGACCGGCCCTTGCGCTCCTCACCCGCATCGTACGGCCAACATTACGAAAGCACGCCACTCTCCGCTTAAGAACGCTAGTTCCACGGCGAAATGAGTTACACCACTGATCAAAACACAGCTAAAGGCACGCGGCATCACGGCGTTACGGAGTCACCAATCGCTGTCCGTGGTGGCCGGACTGACTTATCCGTAGCATTGACCCGATGCACACAAAACATCACTCGAGCAGGCACGAAGCGCCAAGCGGCAAGGTCAGGCAAGGTCAAAGCTCCCGGCAGGTGCGACCCCAGCCGGAATCGATACGACTCGGCTGACCGATCGGGTCTGTTCGGCGCGTCGCGCAGTCGAGGCGTCCGAGGCAAAGGCACGCAGCGATCTTTACACTATAACAGCATTCACGGTGCGGACCGGTCCGGATTGCGCGCACTCAGTAGGTAAATGGAAAAGTACGGATCCGAGCGCCGCCACTGCTGGCAGCAAACTAATTGCCCAAGCTGAACACCCGATTCGGTGTCTTCCGGCAGCCAAAGCCCGGCTGCGTCTGCATGCAGTGGGCTTTGAGCTCTAGTTCTTGGGAATTGAGCTCGAGCTACGCGTTATTGTACCACTTAGCACCAGGCCAGTGCCTAATACTACAGGATCTTCGTTTTGTTATGTCCGAAATGCTGACTTGTCTGCCAGCAACCGAGTCATGATTAGCCCCGGCTAAACGCAAGCCGTCTGGTCAGTCAGGGTTTTATACCGGCACACTGGCGCCCGCCGCCGTCCAGCTTCGTTCCCTGCCCCTCGCGAACCCCACACTGCTCATTGCCGCTCCACGGCAGCTGCTTCGCTCGCCTGCGGCACCGACATCGCTGCAGAGCTCCAGACCATGCGCCTCGCGGCCCATCACCGATTCCAGCAGCTGCCTTGCTCGCCTGCAGCCTCATCGCTTTCACAAAGCTGCTTCTCCTGCCCCCCCCCCCCCCCCCCCCCCCCCTCCCACAGGACCCTCACCGATCCCGGCAGCTGCCTCGCTCGCCTGTGGCCCCGGCGCCGCTACACGCCAGGCTACGGCAGCCGCTCGGCCCGGTCCCGGCGCCGCTGCGCCCAGTTCCGAGGGGCGCCAGGCCGCCGGGGAGCGGCCGCCTCGCTCACGTTCAGCCCGTACTGGGCCAGCGCCTGCAGCATGGGCAGCGGCCGACGAGGCCAGACGGCGCGCCGCTTCAGCGCCTCGCCCTGCGCGCGCAGCGTCTCCAGCCGGCGCAGCCACGGCAGCACGTGCTGCTCCACCCACTCGGCCACCGTATAACGGTCCACCACGTCCTGCAGCGCGTCACGCGCGGAGCTTACGGCCGACTTCATCGTGTACTGCACGCTGTAGAACATCTCGAGCACCTCGTCCACGCGGAATGGGTTGGTGTAGTTGCGGTTGATATTGTACTCGGTCAACCACCCCTTGCGCTGAGTGGCAGTGGCAAAGAACTCTTCGGCCTGCGCCACGGCCGACTCCAGCTGGCCCGTGAACTTGAAGAACTCGCTGCCAGGGAAGTCGCACGCGGAGAAGGCGTACGAGCCTTGCGGGTCGGTGGCCAAGCTGGACAGCAGCTCGTGCGGCGCGCTGGGGCAGCCGAGTGTGTTGTACAGCAGGTCCTGCAGCGAGCTGTTGAAAAAGCCGTGCGAGGCGGCCACCAGGCTGACGGCCAGCGACGGTATGGCCGCCGGCAGCAGCTCGCACAGCACGGCCATGTGGTCGTAGCGCTGCCAGCCGGTCAGCACCAGGCCGCGGAAGCCCTCGGAGAACTTGGGGCCCTCGCGGCGCATGACGTCCAGCCAGTTGAGCGTGTTGTCCAGGTGACGGGTGATGGGCGGCACGGTCAGCGTCTCGCCGAACGCGCCCTTGTACGCGCTCGCGCCCCACACGTGCGGAAACACCTCCGCGAACGCGTCGTACACGTTCGGCCCGACGAAGCGGTACACGTCCTCGGCGTACACCCAGACCATCGGCTCAACTAGTTCGGCGATGCCAGAGCGGCGGAGCACATCGCCCGGGATATGACGCATCATGTCGTCCCAGATGAGCGGCCGCGCGTTGTACCGCTCGCGCACGTAGCGCGCCACGCGCGTGACGTGCTCCAGGTACAGGTCGTCGCGCATCTGCGTGCGGCAGAGCTCGCAGACGCCCATGTGGTAGACCTCGTCGCAGCCGATGTGCAGGAACGGCGTGCCCCGATGCATCTCCATCACTTGGTCGACGATCTTCTGCACCAGGCGGAAAGACTCGTTGCGCGACGGGCAGAGGGCGGCCGGCTGGGCGGGCGTCTCGCGCAGGTGCGCGAACGGCTCCAGCTTGAGGAACAGCTCCAAGTGGCCGAATGTCTGCACGAGCGGGATCACCTGCAGGCCCTGGCGGCGCGCCTCGGCCAGGATGCGGCGCACCTCGGCGCGGCTGTAGTGGTTACGCGCCGCCGCCGGACGCAGCGCTCCTGAGAACGGGAACATGTCCTCCCACTCGAGGAGCAGACCCGTGCCGCCGAGCCGCCGAATCAGCGGCAGCAGACGGGTCAGGTACGCCGCGGTCGGTGGTGCGCCCTTCAGGTCCAGGTGCACCACACGGCGCGCTGGCACCAGCGGTGCGCGGCGCTCGCGCCGGCCGCCGCCGCCGCCATCTGGCCGGACGTCCAGTGGCGCCGCCGCACGGCTCGCCCTGACGTGGGCGGGTCGCTCATCCCACACTTCTGGGGTGCGAGGCAGCTCGACCCCCTCGGAGCGGTGACGGGCGGGGTCGAGCCAGGAGGGCCGGCGCGCGAGGCGCACCAGGTCCGAGGAGGTCTGCAGGTAGCCTAACGCCACCAGACTGAGCAGAGCGGCGAACAGCAGCGAGAATCGCCAGCGCCACAGCGTGCCCGGCAGGTGCTGCAACAGACACGGCGTCTTGCAGAGCGCTGGGACGAGCCCCATGACCACACACAGCGTCGGAAGGGAACTTTTGAGACGCAGTGCAACGTTAGGTGCAGCTCTGGGTTAACACGGACGTCAGCCACGTCAGTTGTATCGCAGACTGCGCTCGGAGCATCAGCGTGAGGCCCACAGCGTCAGAGGTGTGTATACATGACTCACAGGCGACAAAACGCCGGAAACGGCGCTGGGTGGAGACAGCCTTCAGATACAGCACTGGAAGCAGACACTATTGGGAGGATGACCATGCAGAAAATCAGGCGCAGTATTACTGGAGAACATCAAAGCATGCAGTGTCAGTGCCAGCGTTTGATACAGCATAAACGGCAAACACGGCGCCAGATGTGTGTGTGTGTGTGTGTGTGTGTGTGTGTGTGTGTGTGTGTGTGTGTGTGTGTGTGTGTGTGTGTGTGTGTGTGTGTGTGTGTGTGTGTGTGTGTGTGTGTGTGTGTGTGTGTGTGTGTGTGTGTGTGTGTGTGTGTGTGTGTGTCCGCCATTTGAGTTAGATCATTTGCAGGCTAAACGGTCCATAATTTTTCCATGAAATTTGCACACGACCAAGGCCCGCTTGCGGCGCGTGACAGAGTCGTGTGAAAATTATGCATTTCGCAAAAATGAGCGCGTGCTGAGCGAAACACGAGCGCAAAAATCCCCACAGGCTTAACACGGCCGACGCCAATTTAGCGATTCCGGCCGACGGCCCGACACGCTTCGCTTTCCGGGGCCGTATCTTGGCAACCATGGATCGCAACGACATGCAACTTGCACAGTGTTATAGAGCATGGAATGGGCCATTGCAATCTGGTAATTTTTCCGCCACGTGACACGTGCCACGTCCACATGCAGTTTTCACACAGTCACATTTCACATATCCACAGTCACATTTCGGCCGTTTTTGACACGTTGTTAGGTTTCCGTTATATCTCGGCACGGAAACAAGGTAGGGGCCTGAATTTTGTTAACCAACATTTAAACTGGAGGCGGCTACATTTTCAATGTGGTTCGTGAGTTTCTGCGACGCATCGTCACGCTGCAAATCGCATTGCAAGTTGCAACGGGCCGAGTTTTAAAACCGGCGCCCAATACAAGCCGCTACCGTCAAAACTATGCGTGATATAGCGTTGAAAACTACATCAGCGTGTTGGCCGATTCGTGCTGTCTCTGATGCACCCTTTTGTTGATCACATTTTAAAAAATGTCGCCCGCAAATGAGCGTGCACTAAATGGTTGCACGACGGCTTTCTCGCCGCGACGGCGGGAAGTTGCTGCCCTGGCTCCCGGCGTACGCCCTAGGCGTTAAGGGTTAATATGGCTGTTTGCGCGGCGGGCTTTCGACTTTGTTCGTTCTCCCGGAGCACGAGACTGGCATGCTGCGATCATCGCTTTTGCTCTTTTCCAGTATTCATACCAAGTGGAATACACAAAGACGTTGCATGAATTGTCATATCGCACATCCTGCGTGTCAGGCGTGAACGAGCCAGAAATATTACCGGCCGTTTTTTACTCTCCGATGCAATGCAATGCTGTTTAATACAACGGCAGCACGTGCTGCCACCATTCCAAATGCTGACAGTTGATGGAAGGGGCAAAAATTAATGGCCACACCCCACGACCATTCGCTTTTTGCATGGTGTAGATTCGGCTGTGTTGCAGAGAGCGCGGCGAAATGCGCTTTCTCCTGCCGTCGGCCGCCAGAGACCGCCGGCACCGTGCGCGGCCTGCGACCGAACCTTTTTACAGTACGCAATATTTCGCAACCAGGACACCTAGAACCGTGATTCCAACTGCAAAAGATACGCAATGAAAATTTCCGAATTTTGCACCAGCGCATGAAGCAAGCGCGCAAGCGCTTGCTTCGCTTGCTTAGCGTTATATGCACTATTTATAGTGACTGACGAGGTGGGCATGCCAATTGCAGTCAAGTCCCTCAGCATGCATGCATAACACGCAGGAACCCATGCGGGTGTTGTAGGGTAGGGTGTAGTGTAGTGTGATTTCGTTTGTCGTGGAAAATGTGGGCGGGCTTCGAAAACGTTGGGAGGTCGGCAGACGAGGTGAGCGTCAAACAGGAGTCAGAGCCGACATGCGCGCAGCCCCAGTTGGTCCAGCGTATGCCAGTCTTGTGGACTGTTGCTGCGACCTAGCGAAATCAGTGGGATAGGTCATGCAGATTACAGCGCAGGCATTTGTGTATAACACATACAAGGATTTATTAAACCCTGCAGTTTAACGTTTCCACTCAGTATTTGTCATGCAGTTTCCACTATTATCACATATTCTTTTATTCACAAACGCAAGGAAACAAAATTCAACCACTGAGATGCCTCTGGAACAAGTGAGTCGCATAGTTCAATGCAGGACTCATAAAAACATGTACAATATCGACCTTAAATAAACTATACCACTTCCATGCAGTCGTACTTTCCTTGAGCCAGTGTCAATAACGAAGTAGTGGGTTTGCGCGAATAGCCATCCGTACTTCAATACTTTTATTCCCTCACACCACTTGATTACTGCGGTGTACATGGTAGTAAAACGTAGGCAAAGATAGTATATGTGCTTTGATACCACTGTTTAAGTGGGCTTCACTTACATAACGCCCGCGCGCTTGTTCATAAATCACATGCCTTAAAAGAACTGTGACTTCCTTTTGTACTTTTTACCCATGGTTAGGTCGGGCACATAGAGCTTTATCAGCAAGGCCTATTTCCTCGAAATGCTTCTAAACAGCTCACAACTTGTAAAACTAATGCTTTCTATTGGCGTAACGTTTGCAAAGTGTGTGATATGTAATGATCACAATACACTCACAGGCAAGACGTCTTTGTAATAAATTTTATGAGGGCTTTAAACTCTCTGATTAGGGAGACACAAACAAGTATGAGGCCGCTACCACACGAATTTCATGAAACGTCATTCTATGGCTTCCAACTCTTCGCTATGCCCTTCAGCACTGTGGATCTTTTCGAAGCTCTAGGATGCTCAATTCGTAACAAGGCTGCACACATGCTTAGTATATGTGTGGCATAGCATGTAATCTAGTGTCGAACATGTCCAACCTTTTAGTAATGTGAACTATTGGCCAAGTGGCTTACGCCGCCTGCTGTACCAATCACAAATGAGCATTTCTGTTGACGTCATGTACGCCAAGAAAGGACGGAATATATCCTGACCGCGCCACTTCAGGTGCACCAAGGGCCTGTTTGTTGGTGTGACAGTTGTTGACAGTTGACAGTTAAGACAGTTGTTGCTCGATATCATGCTCGTGTCCATGCTAATTTCCTGTTAGTTTCTATGCTACATACTTGGCTATAATGATGCAGCTGCTGTAAGCTGCACGGTACATGCGGGCGCCCCATATCGTGCAATACCCCTGGCATTAACTCAGTTGTAGTAGGATTAACATGCGACCAAAGGAAACAAAGCGTAGTCCAATTGGAGCATATCCTAAAGGCACATTTTTTAAATAATAGCCATATATATATATATATATATATATATATATATATATATATATATATATATATATATATATATCGATCTCTTTGGTTACTATACGTGCTACTGGAGATTTAGAGTTAAGTGTCATCGTTAACTGCTGGATGCCGCTGGTATCGGTGTCCGCCTTCCCCGCTAACGATATGTATGGTGACAAAAAAGTTTTGCAGTTTTGAACATCCGTGTTCGCAACATTTAAAGCAGAAACACCGCCGCCAAGCATTGTGACCTTTGCAGAACCGCGTGCCGTTAGTCACTGCAGCTGATGCCAGTTGGCGGGCGGCGCAGGTGGGATGGCTTGCGAAAGCCCATTAAAATCAGTGCGTACCGTCGAGGGTTAGACCAGGCCGTATGCTGCAGCTGAACGAGGTGAGTTTGAACCTCTGAATGGATTAGCAGTTTCAGCAAAACGAAGAGCAGATATTCCACCATCACATTAAGCGTTCGTGGCGATATAAACGGCAATCCGTTCCGAGCGTCAAATAACAATTGGCCACGTGAAATGCACGACCCAGATTACCTCCCGCACTCACGATTTGATTTCATGAAGCGTTCCACTACGTAAGTATTACCACGTAAGTACCACTTCCCGATAGGCGTGGCCGGTTTTTCGTTCGTTCACCGGCCACCGCGTGGAACTCGCTGCGGGAGGCGACGCCGCGCGGTCTTCGGCGGCCGCAGAAGCGGGCGTCGGCATCTGACTCTGATTGCAAGCTTTGCTTTAGATCCTAAAGATTGGTCTCAGCGACATCGGAAGCGATTTTTGGGCGCCTAGGCTTATGGACAAAATGTAAACATTGCAAAGATAAACATCGCAAAATAGCATATAGAGCAGCACCATCTGCTACCATGTACAGCCGCCGAACGGCAATATTTTTGGAACAAACTCCAGCAGACTCAACTATCTGAAGCTACATTCTCTCTGTTTGCAGTCTTGGCTCTTCTGTCAGTCTGCTTACGGTGCCTTCGTGATAGGATTCGGGATGTTCAAGATGGGTATGCCGTGGGTGTTTGGCGTAGTGTGGCATTTCACATGGCAAAGCTAGGCATTTCATGTAATTATCGGTGTCTCACGCAACCTTCGTAATTAGCTAGTATCACGCTAAGCGCTATACGCGCTATTACTACTACACTACACTGTAGTTATTATTCGGAACAATGCCATTGCCCTTGCAATGACAAATGCTTATAATCACAGCCCTTGTAATATTTGCCAGCCTACTTGACAAAGTTGTCTGCACCATTTAACAACTGAGCAGTGCACGCAGCACGCAGTGCAAGTGAGGTGGTAATGAATGTGAACTTTCTCAGTGTTTCATCTCGTAAATGATGCCAAAAAGTGAGCTTATGACACTAGACACTTCCGCAACCGATACAAATTGGCCCGATCAATATCTTGCAATGCTACCCTTCACTAGTGCTCGGTAGGCGTAGGTTTTCTCATAAAGCGCAGCAATTCATGAATATAACGTTGCTTGAAGTTTTTATACCTCAAACGGATGAGTTTGCACTAATTCCCGATTAAGGGAACGGATGTTTGTCGAGCTAAACAGGAATGATCGCCGGTATGGTTTGTATGGTCTAATCTGTCCCGGTTTTAAACAGAGCATCTTGTGTTCGGTATGTGTTGGAAAAAGCTGGCAGTGGCCCTTTGCGAACGAGTGCTGGCACACCTACTACGTGTCAAATACGTTTCAGATCCATTGGTGAGTTGCAACCGGCAAGTTCATCTACTCACTTCTGAGGCCCGACACCGATTGTTAAGAAAAAACCGTTGGACAAATGGTTTGCACTCGATAGAGCGTGACCGTCTGCAGACATTGACCTTCGCTTTTGTGAACGCACTGATTGTCTGTTTTCTTCTCTGTCAGAAATGTGTTTTGTGTTGCTGCGACGCAGCGTCGGAACGATCTGGACTCAGTTTGGACACTTGTTCCGATCTTTTTCAGCTTGATAATTGTTTTTCCATGAAAATCAAATGTCGGTAAAACCACGGTGATTCGCAGCATCGCTGGGCAGACCACTTATTAACGCGTCTTGCTGGCAACTATTGTTGATCTTTACAGTACAGCTTCTAAAGAATTGCGCGAATTGTTCCTGGAAACTTCATGAGCCTGCAACGGTGGTTCTTAACACATTACCTTCTAGAGAGCGTGGCGCCCGGGCTGGGCCACGGCAGGACGACCAAGTACAAACACAATTTATTAAGGTTAGGGAAGGGCCTCTCGGCTTACGATCTCAATCTTGTTCAAGAGTAGCGTTTGAGCATCAGCTCCGAGTTGCTCTTTCAGTTATTTCTTTCGCCCACAGGCTTTTATATGACTTGCTTGTGTTTTGTCTGTTGCCAAGTACCACAGGTCATGCTGAGCTTACCATCACATGCTGAGCAAAACGACACCATTTTATCCTGATGGATTATGGAGCTGTAAGGTTGTCTTAAACGTGAAGTAGGGCAGGGCAGGGTCGGGTCACTGGAACATACAGTCCACTCACAATTCTTGAAAGCTTTGCTGCCGCCCCGCGGCTCTTTCGCAACAAAAACGTCACTAGCATGATCCTTTAGCCTTCAACACGTTGCGCGATGCAACTTTTGTTACTCGTACATCTCTATAGCCCAGTCAAAGCCGTTGACTCTTCGCCTGACTCGGCCGTGGCGCATCCCACTGGAGCCTCGATACTGGCGCTGCATGCCAGGCGCGTGTTTGGCCCGCGGCCCGCGGTCACGGCCCACGTTTGAGTGCACATCCATCTGCTCGAAGGAGGCAGCGGCAGTTAACCTGCCTCTGCCAGCCAGCCAGCACACCTGTGACAAATAGCTCATAAAAAGCATGCATCTCTTAGCGCGTGCCATCATGGCGAGGCCATGGCGTGCGTAAACAACAAGACAATGGCGTAGAACGGAGTACTAATGCAACGGTCCCCCCAGGATGTTGCAGTCAGCTGAGCGCCAGCGAGATGCAAACGTCTGACGGTTTTCTTAGGCCGGGACGACATAGCGCAAGCTTTTGTTCGCACGGTTCCCGTCACACCTACACCCAACTCGGCGAAGGAAGTCTGCGTGCACTTCATCCTCCACACACAAGTCATCTGACGACAAGGCACGCGCTGAGGTGTTCTCGAGTGATTGGCCTTGATCTATCTCACCGGCCTGCCATAGTCTGGCGGCGGTGGAAGTGAGCAGCATCCGAGCCATGGAGTGGCGACCGGCCGGGTAGAGCAGGTCATGGGGTACGCTGCACAGAGTCGAGCTAACCAGGAATTTGATACTGGTGGCATAAGGCAGCCGTGCATGGGAGATCAATATGGGCCACATGCAATGGCACGAACAAAGCCGGTCTCGGAGGGCTGCACACAAGCGGAGCCTGTGGACAGCAATACGATGGCAGGCTTGCAGGGCCAGGCGTTCAGCTGCGTCATATTTGGTCACGCACCGCTTGGACTAAAGCGACCACGCGGAAGCAAACGGGAATCAGGTCATCGCTGTCGTGTTGTCGTCACCACACGGTTCGGGGTCAGTGGCCAGAGTCATTTACCTCGCTTGAACCGTATGCAAACGCTGTGGTCGGATGACGAACGGTCCCAGGCTGTCTCTAGTCGCAGAGTTCAAAATACTCACCTGCATGCATTTGGAGACAGACATGCCGGGTGCAGCGGGAGCGTTCGCTGGAACCAGCCGGCTGTCACCTTGCACCAGGGACCCTGGAAGCACGGTACAGTTTCCCGGTGAGGCGCAGTGATCGGGTGAGTCAGCTATGTACGAGTTAGAGAGGTGCGAGGTGCAAGCCGTTGTTGAGTGTCAACGAGGTGTTACTGTTTAGCCGGTCTGGGCTCCTGTCTGGGCTTATGCTCTCCTCGTGTACGAACAATGCAATAATGCGTAGGTTTTAGTTACCTGTTAATGTCCTCAGGTCATCCTTGCTGGTTGTCGTGAGTTTCGTGATGCACATGTCGTAAGTACGTGATGCAAGTGCATGCTTATGAGTCATAGCATATGTAGCCATATATTCAAAAGTAGTTGGTGAACCATGAGACAAGTTATTTATTTCATTTATTGAATCTGCTTTCACGTCATACGCTGATTTAAATCTCAAACGATACAACTCTAATATGTGTTTGCTGACTGATGGGGCGGTAGATTGAGCCTTGACAGCGAAGTTTTTCGCGCGTGTATGTAAGTACCGCGTGCGTTTGATTGCCCTGCTCCACCTGGACCGCACGCTCTGAATCTGCGCGCTCCAGGCATCGTCAAATCTCCGCTGACAGCGGGTTCACGTCGGAAGCCAGCGTAGGCACTCTATTCTTAGCGCATCGTGTTTTTGGCAGATATGCCGGCGCATTGGGCGGGAGGTGAGCGGTGGCCAGCTGGGGCGACGAGAGGTCATCGCCGGAGGGGACCGGCCGCTGGCAGCCGACCCCGGGAGCACCCTCCGCTGGGCTATTCGGCGCTGCAACTTCTGGGCAGCCAGCAGCTGGCGGCGCGCCCGAGTCAGCGGAGCGCTCGCTGCTACAGCGCGCAACTGCGTATCCCCGGGATTTAGAGGATTTAGAGGAGGGAGGGAGACCTGGTGCAATGAGAACGGTTATTGCGGCACTGCAATCTTGTTGAGGTCATTTCCACGTGACTGAATGGCGTGCAACGTGTAAGGACCGAATCGACTAGCCATCAAAAACAATAACTTGCACTAACATTGACGTTAAGTGTACTTGGGTGCAATGTAACACGATCTTAGTCCATTTCGGCGTAAAACAAAGCTGCTCTAGAGCAAACAAATGTGCATCCTGTGCAAAGTATCACAATTATTTGAGGTTAGTGGAAAATTGAGCTATTAATTACTTTCATCGACAGTCACATGTAACCCTGCTCCAGATCGGTTCTCTATGAATAGCCAAAGGGGAGCAGACCCTAGATCATCAAAACTTGGGCGCGGCCGTCAGTGCTTCGGTAAAACACTTTTCAGAATGTTTAATTTGGCTCTTGTCAATATCCACAGATTTTGCACCAACTTGAGATCAGAGTAGCGAAAAATAGAAGACCATCAACGCATCCACTGATTCGGCTCCTGTTGACCGAGAAATAATTACAGCAATTCAGCTGTAAATGTGCAAGGGGCCATACCGAGATGATTATACCGAGCGTACTGGCCATACCGAGATGATCGCAAAGGCTGCATTCTGTGACCCTAGAAATTCGTAAAAAGCGCGACAAAAAACGAGCCTTTGTGGATTCTCATATGCAACTGTCATTCCGAAATCGCTCTTTTCTCGTTTCGCTAACATCCAGGTTCGTCCCGCTGTTTCAAGCTCTTGTGTACTAAACAAATCAGACGCCATCTGTCAAGACGACAGCTGGCATCGCTCATGCGGCCTCTCGTTCTGTTCATTATTTGTGCAATCAAGCGAGCTCGCTTTTGTCGTTTTTCAAAATGCGCCGGTAATACAGCCTATCAGGTGGAAAAATCAGGAATTACATTCGCTCGTGAAGCGTGGGAGGAGCAGAGAGCGTGGTAATAAACACGCGCCCGGATGACCGGCTGGATACCCTTCGTTCGGGAAGGGGGTCCATTTGACCCCCCTGAGATCTCAGGAACTAAGAGGGCTAGAGGCACCAATTTGACAGGGTGTGTTGATCTGCGTCTGAACTCACAAAGATCAGAGTTTGAGCCCCCTAGCCATGATCTTCGGGTCAAATAACGTCAAACAAGGTCAATCTCAGCAATGGTCTCCAAAGTGCCCTAGATGGACCTGGACCTAGATGCCTCTCCTAAACAAAAGGTTATAAGATCATTTGACGCCAGTGATCTTTTTGACCTTTTAAATGCCATGGTGAGCAAAACCATGCAAGGCTGTTTTGAGTTTTGCACATGAAAAAGTGACATAGATTACGTTAGGCAGCATGTTCCTGAAAACAAAATGTTGACCTGAGTCATTTTAGGTCAGTAACGTATTCTGACCTTTGAAAAGCGCATGAAAAATAAAAAGCGCAAAAAACACTGCCCTCCTTTGCGGTACACATCATATGCTAAAAAGGAACGCCGTGCTTCGTGTGGCACACAGACCCCCGCGATCATGCAGATAGCATAAATAATGGTGCACGGTCCTGCGCGAGGCTATAAGTTATAGCTGCGGAAATAGTGGCATGGAAAAGCCCATTTTGTGCAATCGCGACATCCAAGCCCATTGCCAACATACGAGTGTGCTCAAGAGCAGCGCCGCATGGCATGCCCACTACAGCTAGCATTTATCTCTGATGTCAGATGCATCAATAAAGCATTGCAAAATAAACAGACATGCAAGATAACGCTATTCCTAGTGAATAAATTTAAAAAGGGGCAAAAGGGGAATGGGGAGAAAGAGAATAAAACTATTCGTAGTCAAGTATCAATTGAAGCGATACAAACTGCATGCTTTTTTCAGACATAATTAAATCCCAATCATCACAAGCATTACAGGCGGAGCCACGAGCCGGGAAGTCTCCCTTTCCACGGTGGAAAACCCTTCAAGTTCAGCGGCTCGAACGTCGTGAGTTCTATAAGCTATTATCTATGCACAGCAGATCACATTCGCAGCTCGTTCGCGTGCATGTAGTTTCCGGCAACAGATACGCGCTTCTTTAACAGCTGTCTGGTGCCAATTTCTGGGAATTTACATGCAAGTAGTTTTATCCGGCGTGACGTTTCCTGCGTCATTGTAATGTAAGCGTCGTAGTGACGCCAGACAAACTGAACTTTCTACGGATAAGCGAACGAACAAGCGAACCGGCGGGAGCGGGGGCCATGCGTGCAGCTGGTCACACGTGCCCCAGCGCATGGGTTCGATGGCGAACTCGTGCCCCAGCGCATGGGTCCGCCCGTTCGATGGCGTTTTTAGGGTCTGGCGCAAAGTTCGGCAACCAGGACAGATAAAGAAGTGCAGCCGCTTTTTGTAAGCGCACGGCGCATGTCGCTGCACCTCCACAAATTACTGAGCAATCCCAACACTGTCCGACCCAGGGCAAGCCGGTGATAGACCGAGAGCCGATCCAGGGTAAGCTGGTGACGGGCCGGCGGCCGACCCAGGGTAAACCGGTGCTGGACCTGGGGCTGACCCAGGGTAGGCCGGGGATGGACCGGGAGCTGACCCAGGGTAAGCCTGTGATGGACCAGGGGCCGACCCAGGGTAAACTGGTGATGGGCCTGGGGCCGACCCAGAGTAAACTGGTGACGGGCCGGCGGCCGACCCAGGGTAAACTGGTGATGGGCCTGGGGCCGACCCAGGGTAGGCCGGGGATGGACCGGGAGCTGACCCAGGGTAAGCCTGTGATGGACCAGGGGCCGACCCAGGGTAAACCGGTGATGGACCGGGAGCCGATTCAGGGTAAGCCGGTGATGGACCGGGGGCCGACCAGTGTCACCCGCTTTTAAAACCACCGAACAAAACGTTGTTCTGGCCTAGCCCGTGAGAGATCGGACCGTGGCGCCCAACTAACCAGGCGTAACTGATCCTTGAAGAGTCCATGGAAAACGTGTAATGCGGTTCCTGTTATCAATAAATTCGAAATGAGCACCAGAAACTACCCCACGGAGCAAGCCCTAGAGTAATAAAAACAGATTGACTCTGACCTTGGTCTGACCTTCAAAAATGACCCTAGGTCAATGGAATCTGTTCACTCAATTGCTTTGTTGTCTAAGCAAGTATCTCAGAGATTTATGGGCTCGTCTAGCACTCCGTTGTTTCATCAAGTTGAACGATTCCCTAGAAATTGACCTCGCTGAATCCCTGACCTCACTTTGACCTGCCGCAAGTCAGCGACTTTACATGGTAAGTCCAAATTTTAATACCAAAGGATCCACTATTCAATTATCTACAGCTATGCGATATGTGGCACGGCTGCCTAACCTAACACACTTCCAGACATGAATTAAAGCCGAATTTTTTTTCAGTCGGCGAATGACCGCATCGTATTCTATCTGATACAGTGGTCGATCGGAGATATTACTTTTCCCAAAACATGGGGTGGTCCGCCGTATGTACATGACCACGCTTGAAGAGGCTTGCTCATGCTGCACTGCATCCATGACTCCGCTGCCATGCCAAATACATTGCAGCGCTCAGACACTGCGCACAGCATAAGCCTTACCTGTCGCACCGAAGTGAGTGAGCTGGGATGGGGAGGGACGATACCACGCTCACCATAACTGGCTGCCGAGGTCTGCACCGCCAGTGTACTGCCTGGCAAACGGCGCGGTGGGATCAATAGCCGGAGCGGCGCCCCATCAGCAGGCCCCGCTGGCGCTGCCACCACCACCGGCGGCCGGCGGGCCGGCGAGCACGCGGCTACCCGGCCCCGCTGCCCCACGGGACAGGCGCCTGTCCGGCTCTGCTGCC